CAGACCCTCCTTCATGCAAAGCAGCCCTTGATCCCATCCAAATTCTTTCCAGCTCCCCTGGGACGAGTCCCATGCGCTAACGCTGCACCTGCAAGTCGAGCTGGTGCAGTTCCCCCTCCCCTGACGTGGCATTTGCAGGTGTCCTCCCCCTCCTCCCGGCAGCGAGCCGGATGGTGCCACACCGAGCAGACAGCCGATGCCATTGTGCGGCTTGTTTACCCCTTGCTAACGTCTCCCCTCCAAAATTCCCATTTTTGGTATGAAAGTGTAGAGACGCATTGCTTTCCTAGCACGGCGCTGGGCGAGCATATGGTGCCCGCGTCCTCAAATAGAATGCATCATCTTTTAAACCATCTCCGGAGAATACATCAAGGAATATAACACTGCTTGAAGTGTGTGTCTGATGTAGTGACTTTCATCTAATGTTTCACTGATCCTGGTTTGGCAGGGACTACCTTCCTCCATTTGATGCTTTGACCTGAAGTCTCGTGGCTTCCCACCGAGCCCATATGCATCTTGAGAAGGACGGGAGCTTCAAACACTTGCCACCGTCTCCAAGCCAGGCACTCTCCAACACCTGACCTGATTAAGTGGTGCTTTCCCACTTCTTCTACATGCACCAAAAAGAGGGAGACACGGGGTGGATCTCAATGATGTTTTGCTTCATTTCCCATCTCTTCCCCCCCTTTCCATGCATCAGCCCAAAATAAGGGCAGCTGCCTTAAATGATGGTGTCACCTGCCAAGCCAAGACATCGTCACCATACAACACATGACAGGCCTTATCCATCGTGGTGCTGTTGTAGCGTTGTGCGAGTACGTGTGTAGACATCTCCTTTGTTCTCTCCAGGTATTTGCAACATAGACAAAATTGGAAACCCTTACACATGTCGCAGATGGAGACGTTCGGGTAGGTTAGCAAACTGAACTAATCTCATTAGCAAACTTGCATCCTGCGCAAAACAGGTCACTGTGCCTTATTTTCATGACGCAGCAAGCATTGAAGAATGAAGCCAGTATCTTTGCCCAATAAACCGTGTTGGTGCATCCATCAGCAGTATATGGAAACAGATTTTTCCATCCCCCCCACTTCCCATTCTCAAAAAAGATATCGGCTCGAAAGGAAAAGAAAGGTGAAATCAAGAGATGTCGCCATATGGGGGTGACTGTGAGTGTTGCTCCGCAGTTAAAGCAGCTCCAACTGTTACTGCTGGCCGTCATTGCTTTCCGAATCAATCACCGTGCAATCAGCCATCTGCAGCAGGCGCGTTGTGACGCTGAGTTGGACCCACGGTTGCTTTTGTCATCTCTCATTACCCTGACAGCTCCTAAGGTTTTGCCCTCCGCTGTCCGCGTCCGCGGGGCGATGTTGCTCTGGAAAAGGCGTTGACAGTAAGGCCTGGTGACGTGCTGCCCGAAGCTGCCTGGAGCAGACAGAAGCTGCTCATGTCTGTCTCCTCCTCTCCATTAAACGGTGGCAAGAAGCCAGGGCGGCTCGGGAGAGTCCCAGTGGGGAAGGCATCCCGTCAGCACATGGGACAGACGGTCACTGCCCATACGGCACCACGCTCCGCGCGTCCCTCTTCTCCGGCTGGGAGGGAAGATGTCCATTTTGACGAGGCAATTGATAGCCAAGGGGAAATTCGAGCCACTGCCGTGACAGCCCCAGTAGAGACCCGAGCATCCCCTCCTGCACCAGCTCCGAACGACGGCTGCATCCTCCCCGGGCAGGGCGGCACGGCGCAGCTCTCCACGAATCCTCCACGTGCTCCTGCTCTCCTGAGCTTCGACAGACCACTCAAATCCAGCGGATTTGGGATAAAACTAGGTTGACATCCCCGTAGCTCTGGCTTTAACCATCCCGGCCTCTCGGGGCCGTTCCCTGCTGAACAAATCCAAACCAACCTATCCCCAGGGAAGTTTCAGACTGGATGATCAACCTTTTCATCCAAAAAAATCCTGACCCATTCTAGCCGATAGCAAAACCCCACGGCCTTTCTCCCTCTTCAATTCAGAGGCTAGGCAAAACTTTGAACGCTTTGTCCAAAAAAAATAGAAGGCAAAAAAGAAAAGGAAAGACGCCAGTTTGCTCGAAAAAGCAGGGCTGATAAAAACAGCCTGGTTCTCGCTGCCTGTCTGCTCTATCCTGGTCCCTTTAATACCAGCATTGAGATGATGCTTAGACACAGCATCTGGAGCTGCAATATTCATCTGGCCCCAATCTCATCCTAAGGCTGGATTTGCCTTCCAGTTTGCAGCCCACACCTCTCTCCTTCGACATATGCATTGCATCTGTGGACACCGTACCCCAGCAGAGCTAACGCTGCCCGTGAGAGGAGAGCAGCAAGGCCACGGCCACGTAATGGCTTTAAGTTTCCCCTCTCTTCTCGTACGGGGCCCTTTCTATCTGCTCGGTGCCCTGCCAGGGGGGTCAAAAATAAGCCTGGGCTGGAAGATCCCATTTTTTATTAGCATCTCCACACCCGTGACATTGAGAAATATCCATCTGGCCTACTTAGTCCTGTGGTGTGTTTCTTTGGTGTATGGATTGGTCATAGTAGGTCTCACTTAGACAGCTGAATAGAAGAGACCTTTCCATTGGCATTCATCCATGCACACCTCCTTCCCTCGCCTAGTCCCCCTCCTTGTCCACACTACTTTCATGCCAAGCACCTGAAGGCTGGTGTCGTGGGCAAAAGCTGTCCCCGGTGAAGCCCAACATGACAAAAGGTCAGCAGGTGAAAGACCTCACCCGTGAATCTATCGCTTCATTCGAGAAGAGTTGCTGAGAGTCACTTGAGAATAACTCGGTGTGAAACGATTAGCACCAAGCGCTTGCATAACTAATGCAACTGAGGTAGAGAGATCATCATCTCCCAGCTGCCGGCATGAACACCGCTGTCCCATGAACTTAACCATTTGCCACTTCTCCGTGTACCACTGCTGCTGCTCACGGGGTCACGACTTGCAACGGGAGCCCTATATTTGGAGAATTCGCCCCGCACTTCCCAATGGGACACTACAGGCAATAACAACACGCTGAAGACAAAGGTGTGACCGCACCGGGAACGCTGAACCCATATGGAGGCAGCTGCAGAAAATTTGGAATAATTTTTTTTTAAGTATTCAAGTTTCCCGCTATTTATCCAAATAAAACATCGCATTTGGTTCAGATTCACTGGTGGGTCATTTTTACTCCGCCGAATGCAACCGCTTGTGCTTAAGAGAGCACAGAACAATCGCAAGAAATAAGCAGCAGCTAGCAACCTGCATTTCGACGACATGCCGTTGCTGGGAAGGGTCAAGTGAAGGGTATTGCTGGGGAAGAGCTGAAGACGGGGATGATGAGATTTCTTTATAATACTACAAAGACAAGAGGCAGAAGTTCGGCTTTCCAGAGGGAGCCCTGTCCCTTCCCTGTGAAAACGACTCTGGATTTAATAGCATCCTGCTGTCTGCTGCTAGTTGACAAGTTTTAGGACATGCCAGATCAGAAATGCAGAAGGCTTGGGGGGTGGTTTCAAGCAGTAAATGATTCTGTGCTCACTCTTGCAATCCCCTCAGGCCCTCATGGAGATGTTTTGTCTCGGTCCTTTAGCTCGGCGCGTGCTGTGGCAAGGTCTGCAGACGGAAAGGTGCTGGTGTGCATCACCTGCAGAGCAAGCTATCCGGTAATCCATTGGGAGCCCACGCCGTCTGTCACCAGCGTGAGTTTTTGAGCACAAATAAGTTCGAAAAGTCTCTTACCTCAGGCTCTGGGCGCCGCGGCTGCCTACGGACTGTCTCGACAGACTTCCCGCCACGCTGGTGCTCGTAGGCGATGACCAGCCGGCTGCTGACCCCAGCCACGATTTGATGCTTTCTCCCGGCTCCAGACTTAGGGTGGAGCCCACGCTAGACTGGGCGTCCCTGCAACGGCAATGCAGTGTCATGGCACGGGACGCTCACAACCTCTGCAAATGCAGCCATGAAATCTGAGCCTGGCTGGAACGGGGGGGGATTTGGGAGCCTTCCTCTGACCAACCCATCTCACCTTACCCCCCCGACCCCTTCGTTCACTTAAGCTGGGGAAAGCCCCGCAGGCACCTACCTCTCCCGCTGCATTTTACAATTTGTGCCCTCAAGCCCCGGTGACAGCAGGGCATGGACGTGCGGGATGGAGGGGGGACGAGTTAGATGGGCTTTCTTGGCATAACTAGGGGATGCTTTTGCCTCGATCAAAACCAGAACCTGGAGACCTACACGCCTTTGCCACTTCAGGTGACGGACCCTGCTCTGGTCTCGCACAACATCAGCAAGTACGAACTCAGAGGCTGCTTTCAATGGATGCCGAACAAACCATTTTGGGTTTCCAGACCAGGGCGCCTTCAGCAGGCAATTTCCCAATAGAAAGACTGCACGCTGCACGCCGCTGGCTTGAAAATGCCATTGCTAGCTCCAAATACTCGGGTCTACGATGGTGACTTTGCAACTGAAGCCGACTCCCAGGGACTGAGGTGTGCACCGTGCTTGCACCAGCGTTTCACGCTGGATTACAGGCTTCAGTCCCCGTGAACATTTTGTCACTAGAGTCCACCCCGATGCGGTGCCAGGATGATTTCTGGTAGATTAACTTCCTCTAACAGTAAATCTAGTTTAGTACGCTTAAATCACAGCAAAGCACTGAAAAATAAATGAGGCTGTCTATCATAGGTTAATAGACAGACTAGCTAGAGAAAATGGGGTAGATCAATGCCGCTGCAGTGCGTGTAAAGGTGATGCATCTGCAATCCCATCTGAAACCAATCAAAGTGCACGGCTAATAAGAATACGGTCACTCTCCTACTGGGTATCGACATCTCTGCAAACGAGAATTTCGACGGCAGGTCATCAATAACCTACCCCGTCATCACACAAGGATTCAAATGCTTTAACCGGCCCAGCCCTCCGTAGGGTTCACTTACGTCTCCCTTCTCGAGCCGAGCGACTCCAGAGCTGTCTGGACACTGTAATGATGGAACAAAAGATAATGGATCGTTACACATGGCGATGGATCGCGCCGCCTTCATGAAACCGCAGCGAAGGATCAGCTTTTGTTTGAGGAGATCAAACTTTTTTTGGATTAATCACAACTCAGCGTGAGGCTTCAATGGCTGTTACCTGTCAGACCGCAGCTTCCTGGGGTTTTGTAAATGGGACAAAATAGCCCCTAAAAATCACGTGCACCACAGAAGGAACATTTGAACATCCCTTCCCCTGCCCCACATACACACACACATATACCGGCTACCTCTGTTGCACAGAAGAGCCTCCCGCGCCCACCAACAGCGATGGGAGCTGCGGGGCTCCCAACCCAGGTGCGTGGGGATCACATCTGTGCTAACTCACGGGCTTTCAACTTTTTTAGACTCAATACACGCAAAGCGCCCCTCAGAAGATGCCAGCTCTCAGCTGTCACTTGTTTCTTGACCATGGAAAAAGAGTAGAGCAATTCTTCTATTGCAAATTGCTCAGAAAGGCCACAACAGGTCAGAACGAGTCCTCTTTGACATCTCCAGGTTCACCTTGCAAATCATGTGCTGGGGTGAAGACCCTTATCCGTGCCAATATTGTGTGGGAGTTTTAAAAGGATCTCGTGGCACCCTGGCTGAGACCCTCTCACTTAGGAGCGAGGTGGGCTTGCTTTGGGATCCAGCGGGTCTGAGTTCAAGTCTAAAGTGGGGGCGGGGGTGGAGACCAAGGGCAGGGCTAGGATTCCCACAAATGGGAGGATCGGGCCAGAAGAAATCTGATGAGGTTCAACAAGGACAAGTGCAAAGTCCTGCACTGAGGAGGGAGCGATCCCCTGCACCGGTGCAGGCTGGGCAGCAGCTCTGCAGAAAAGGACCTGGGGGGACAGGGGACAAGAAGCTGACAGGAGCCAGCAGTGTGTCTTTGGGGCCAGGAAGGTGACCAGCGTCCTGGGCTGCATCGGTAGGTGCGTTGCCGGCAGATGCAGGGCAGTGATTCTCCCCCTCTACTCATCACCGGGGAGGCCACATCTGGAGTCCTGTGTCCAGCTGTGGACCCCCACTACAGAAAGGATGTGGACAAGTTGGAGAGAGTCCAGGGGAGGGCAATGAAAATGGTTGGGGGCTGGGGGACAGGACTGGTGAGGACAGGCTGAGGGAAATGGGCTGATTGAGTCTGCAGAAGAGAAGACTGAGGGGGATTGACTAGCAGCCTTCACCTCCCTGCAGGGGGGCTGCACAGAGGATGGAGCTGGACTAGTCTCAGTGGGCGCAGATGGCAGGACAAGGAGCAATGGGCTCATGCTGCAGCAAGGGAAGTTGAGGTTGGGTAGTAGGAAAAGCTGTCTCACGAGGAGGATGGTGAAGGACTGGGACAGGTTCCCCAGAGTGGTGGTGCAGTCTCCATCCTTGGAGGTTTTCAAGCCCTGGCTAGACAAACCCTTGGCTGGGATGATGTAGTTGGGGCCGGTCCTGCTTGGAGCAGGGGTTGGACTAGATGTGACCTCCTGAGCTCCCTTCAACCCTCATTTTTACAATTCTGTGATCATTAGACATTACAGGAGGTTAGCAGGGGGAGAGGAAATAACTGCAAAGAGGCCAGAACACCTCTGTTTTGACTGGAGCTGCCTAGACAATCCCTGGCGAGATGCACTTCTCACCTTCAGTAACGTGCCAATTGCATTCAAAATCAAAGCATTTCCTATAAAACGTTGAATTTCTGAGCTCTCACCCCTCCTACGTTGCTCTACCCCCGATGAATACCTGGGAAAGAGCATTCTCGTTTCACATGCTGGTGTCGGGCCAGGTTTTCTTCTGTTTCCTGGTTTATGCACCAATACAAAACTGCCCGTTTGTGCCAGTGCCCTCAGAGCAGCACGAGAAGCGATGGAATCAGAAACGGGGGGAAACTTAAGAGCTGGCAAAATAATGCTGATGACAAAGGGGAAAATCCCGGCCCCCCCAAAACTTTGTCAGGAAAAGCTTCCATAATTTTTCCACCGCTTAGCTTCACGCACAGACTCCCCTTCCTCTCCCTCTGCTTGAAACCAAACTATATTTAAAGTGCACGTTTCCTCCCTGGAAGTTCAGGGGTCCGGCTATGCCCCCACGGTCACAGGGGCCGAGGACGAGAACGGCGCTCCGCAGCCGGGCTGTGCAAAGCGCAGGGCTGCTGGCAAGGCAGCGGCAGGGCAGAGCGCTGGGGACAAACTCCTCTGTGCGAGAGGCCATGGATCTACTCTCGACCAAGCGAGGCACTGTATTATTTCATCTCTTCATTTGCATTTTTACATGCATTTGCTGCCAGCGCTGCTAAGGGTTCCCGGTCAGGATTTTCAGGTGGCGAGAGCTGACGGGCTCTGGCCCCGTTCTGCACCAGCTCTCGCCGCCCAGAAGCAACCGCGACGTGCGTGTGCGAGCGGAGACGTTGACTCCAGCTGGCATTTCTGGGCCTGTCGCGGGGGGCGGGCACCGATCTGAGGAGCGAGATCGTTTGGTGACACCGTCGCTAACCTGATTAGCGCTGACACTTCCTGACGGCATAATGATTCGGAGCAAGCTTCAGCAAGGCGAACTCCAAGTGTGTTTCTGTGAGACGGTGACATGACTTGTAAGAAGAGGTGGATGGAAATGGGCTGATTTAGTTTGCAGATGAGAAGACCGAGGGGGGATGGACTAGCAGCCTTCACCTCCCTGCCGGGGGGCTGCAAAGAGGATGGAGCTGGACTGGTCTCGGTGGGGGCAGACTACAGAAGGAGCAATGGGCTCAGGCTGCAGCAAGGGAGGTTGAGGTTGGATATCAGGAAAAGCTCTCTCACGAGAAGGATAGTAAAACACTGGACCAGGTGAGGGGGTGGCATCTCCATCCTTGCAGGGGTTGAAGACCCAGCTAGACAAAGCCTTGTCCAGGATGATGTAGTTGAGGCTGGTCCTGCTTGGAGCAGGGGGCTGGACTAGATGCGACCCCCCCGACATCCCGTCCCACCCTCATTGTCTCCGACTGCGATTCCTGCCCTGGCATCGTGCCAGAGGCAGCCCCTAACCTCGTCCTGCCCAACCAAGCTGGGGGCTGGACTCGACTCGCGCTCCTGAAGGACACCGTGTGCCACGAGCAAACCGTACGGGGATCCTTGTGACTGGACTATTTTCATCGCGGCGTTGCGTGCTCGTTTTAAACCCCCACACTCAGCAGAGTTCTCCGCGCAACCTTTCTTTCGGTGAAAGAGTTCATTAAAAAAAGGGGGTCATTTGTCAGTGCAGATCCACACGGCTCAAAACAGCCGAATCAGCTCTAGGAGAAAATCTCAGTCCCATGCCAGGAGCCCAAAGGGGTCCGTTGCAGTCACCCCACGTGGCAGAAATGACCCCCGGGGCTGGTGCGAGACACCAGCACCAGGGAGCATTTCATTTGGAAAGAGAGGGATGCAGCCCTTCCCGGGCCTGAATGGAAAGCTCAGTTATGGAGGCCCCCCTGCCCTAACCAAGCACCGGCTTCTCCCACGAAAATCAAGTTTCCTAGAAAACAGATTTCCCGTGCAAATCTCAGCAGCGCCGAGACGCGCGCCACCTGGCCCAGCACAACGACACCGGTGCATCCGCGCTCGTGTCTCGTCCGCCTACCTCTCCGCGTCGCTCTCGTCGCTGGACTGCACCTCCTCCAGGGCCACCTGCAGATCCGCGATGCGCCGGATGGACGTCTCCAGGTCCGCTTGCAAAGTCTGCCGCACGGCCGAAAGCTCGTCCACTTGCTTCTCCTGGACAAACACAGCGCGCGATTAGAGAGCTACGGCCTTCTCGCCAGGCACCCAGCCGCGCACGACGGCAGCTACCGAAGTGGCACTCGGCCTATGGGGCCGAAGGAACAAGTGGTACCCCCGGCTCCCAGGTGGGAAAGCGAGGCCCGGTGACGTGCCCAAGCTGACACTGGAAATCTGTGGCAGTACCCAGACCATCTTCCTCCAAGAGGTCACCCTAAACCCTGGGAGAAAAACGCCACCACCCCAGACACGTTCCTATTCACAGCAAAACTGCCACGGGCTTCCAACCCCGGCATCTCACCCGATGCTATTCCTACTTGGTCGGCCAACAAGACTTGTGTCCTACAGAATAAAGCACGGCGGGGACTCTCCACCCAGCGAGCGCGGCTCGGAGAGGCATCAGTATTGCATCTGCTCCGCACCACCGTGGCCCTGGGGCAGGCTCCTTGTGCTCCCCGCTTTGCCCCCCTTGACCTCCACTCTGCTACCGCAGGAAGGAAGGAGGGCTGGGAGCGCCACAAGCTTCGCACCCGGGCTTGGAGATGCCGTCGTTTACCCCGGGGAGGCCCAAGGGAAGAGGCTGCTGATGCACGAGGCTGATCTGAGAGTGCAAGGACAGAGCAAGCCCTTCCCCACGCACCTGGCCCGCTTATCCGCCTGCACAACGGGCTACCCCCTGCTCCCCGATGAAGCTCCTTCCTAGAAACAGACTTTAATTAAAAGACAATCCTACAGAAAGGGGGAAGAGGGGGACCCATCCAACCTCCCGGACTCTATTTTTCTTCCTCCGCATCAGCCACGAGCCACGGATGAGATTTTCGCATCGTGGCTGCAACAGCGGCGGCCCGAGTTGGCAGTCGCCACGCGGGGATTTTCGTCTTTTGTCTTAACGTTGCGGTTTTAATTTGGTCTCGAGTCTTTTCGCGAGCCCGGCGAGAAAGGGACCCGGCAGACAGTTTGTCTAACCCGGCACGTGACGGAGAGAAAGCAAGCTGCAAATTTAACTTGATTGAAGCTGCCAGCTGTAAAATTGCCATCTCTGCGGTGACAAGGTGAGAGATGATTTGTAGCGCAGGCAGCTACAGGCCCGGGCGCAGGAGCCAGCAGCCTGTCAGAGTAAATAATGAAAGCCCTGGTATCACAGGGCAAGCAGGCCTTGGGGGAGCCGCATCTCACTTCATAAAAACAGTCAAGGAATCGCCGGGCGTGGGCAGCGCAGAATCCCAATCGCTCCGATACAGACGGCAACTTTTAGCAATGCCCAAATCTCCCTCCCATCCAGGCTTGTTAAGTCCTTCCCTCGGAGAGACCAAATATTATGAGGTCTCTATGAAGAAGAAAGCTCATAAAGAAATCTATCTATAAAGAAATCTCATGAAGTGAGACAAGTGCACTGAGGAGGGAGCGGTCCCCTGCACCGGGGCAGGCTGGGGCTGACGGGCTCGGCAGCTGAAAAGGACCTGGGGGGCAGGGGACAAGAAGATGGGGATGAATTAACTGTGTGGCCTCGTTGCCAAGAAGGTGACTGGCATCCTGAGCTGCATTGCCAGCAGGTCGAGGGCAGCGATTCTTCCCCTCTATTCAGCACTGGGGAGGCCACATCTGGAGTCCGGTGTCCAGCTGTGCCCCCACTGCAGAAAGGATGTGGGCACATTGGAGAGAGTCCAGCGGAGGGCAATGAAGTGGTTGTGGGGCTGGGGGACAGGACTGGGGAGGAGAGGCTGGGGGAAATGGGCTGATTGAGTCTGCAGAAGAGAAGACCGAGGGGGGGTTGAATACTAGCCTTCACCTCCCTGCAGGGGGGCTGCAAAAAGGACGGAGCTGGACTGGTCTCAGTGGGGGCAGACGGCAGAAGGAGCAATGGGCTCAAGCTGCCACAAGGGAAGTTGAGGTTGGATATTAGGAAAAACTCTCTCGCGAGGAGGGTGGTGCAGCACTGGGACAGGCTCCCCAGAGATGGGGTGCAGTCTCCATCCTTGGAGGTTTTTAAGATCCGGCTGCACAAAGCCTTGGCTGGGATGATGTAGTTGGGGCTGGTCCTGCTTGGAGCAGGGGGCTGGACTGGATGTGACCTCCCGAGGTCCCTTCCCACCCTCACTGCCTCTGATTCTGCGGGTAGGGGCAGGTAGGAGCCGCTCTCTCTTGAACGGGCCCCTGTGCTGGTGGACTGGCTAACGCTGATCATCCCCTTTCCCTGGGGGTCAGCTGGCTGGGAAACGCTCTCCAAGATGCAGCTCCCTGAGACCCTCTGGCCACCTCAGTGCTGTATGGGCCATAGCTCACCCTCTAGCAGGCACCAGATAACTGGCCTGGGAGATGCAGCTGAGCGAGGAAAGCCAGATGCTCTAACACTTGTGAAACCAGGAGGGAGAGCGCTCCAAGCTTTAGATAACAAGCCTGCAATCCACTATTAGCAAATATAAAATCAGTAAGTAAAACAACCCCGTACACTGATAACCGCCCCTGCTGCAGCATCCCTCAGCTCCAGAAATGCAGTTTGCTGGCGGCATTCGCTTTCTTCCCCCGTCTTCTATTATTATTATTATTATCCTTGCACTCAGCCTGGCAAGCACACGTGCCTCTTGCCACGCCGGGATGGAGCCGCTTCACGGTACCTGGGAATTCAGCGGCTTGCTTTCTCCATCTGGCGACACGAAGGCCTCCGAGCATTTCCTATCTCTGCAATATTAACTCACACGGCAATCTCAGCTGCTTGCCTATAAAGCCCCAGTATCTCCTTGGGCGTGTGGGGGGAGGCTTGTTTCTCATGGTGCTCACAGGCTGTTACGAGTTTCCATCAAACTTCAAGGCTGCTATTTTCCAAGCTGCCTCCAAGGCTTTCAGATGCCCATCTCTCACTGCAGAGCCATGCCGTGACAGTGGCCCATCGCTGATGAAAGGATAACGGGCACCTGAGGCTCCAGGCAGGCTGGAAAATCGCAGCCTGAAATTGTTGAGAAAAAACAGACCCCGTGCAGCCAAATGCACCCTGCAGCCAACACCAGAGGACCTTGGGATGAGTGTGATGGGCTTTCAGGGGCGGCTCGGAGATGGGGGCACCTAACAGGAGAAGCGTGGCTGGAGAGGTCACCCAGAGACACCTTTTCTGGAGGGCTGACCAGCACCATCCCCTCCGTCAGGAGTAGGGGCCCTTCTCTCTCCCCACCTGGTTTGCAAGCTGCACGTGGAAGCAATCCCGTGTCTCTTCGCCCTGCCCTGTACGGGCCCGACAGGACCAGGGCAAAGTCTTGTCCAGGAACTGACACCTTTGAGCCAGCTCCGGGACAGCGTTGACCATGCAGTTTTAGTAATAGACTGGATTTGTACGGGATGGTTTGGGTAGGGAGGGGGGCTGCATTAAGTTCAGCCTCCAAAAGACCCTCCCAGCCCCACTTCTCTATGACTCTACTCTTCACCCGCAATGCCAGATATCACAACAAGTACCGTGCATGTGCAAAGAGCACCAGGACCCTCTGGCCACCTTAATGCAAAGTCATTAATAATCATTTTATGGGGTGGAGGTTACCAGCATGCACTGGATGCATGGTATTGCACCAATGCCATGCACTCGATGCATGGTACTGAGCAGATGGCTCAGTGTATTACAGTGGCCAAGTAATGGGGCTATAAGCAAACCCAAGATCCTCTGCCCAGATTCTGGCCAAAGTAGTTATTTCAAGGTGAGCCTAAAAATAGAGATTTCCAAATGAGAGATGACAGTACTTAATAACGCCGTTGTTCCCAGAATAGACTCTGCAGTTCAGAAGCCATTGACTTATTACCATTGTCATTATTAGAAGCGCTGGAAGTGATCAAATCCTGAGGAAATTTCCATTCAAATGCACAAGGTAATTTGTGCCAGCTCTTCATAAGATGGCCAGTGATTTGCCTGGCCCTGAAAATACAGACTAGCATTGAAAGTATACGTCCTGGCTTTTACAGGCAGGGACATGACCAGCGACAGCCGCTCGTCACTGCAGAGCCGTCCATGCTACAAGTGCTAAGAGGTGCAGTTTGCAAAGGAGCTGTAAAATGGTCTGGGCTCATGAGCTTTGCTTAGAGAAAAGCTCCAGCAGCGACAGACATGGAGAGCGTCCCTCTGAGGCCGCGGTTCGGGACCTGTCCGAGGACTCTCCTATTAGAGGAGCCTGCGATCTCAGCCGCTACCAAGGTAATTTGTGCCGGCAACAACTGTACCGACTTCGCCCTTTCTGCTCAAACTCAAGCACGGCATACATCTGTACCACCCCATTGTCTCCAGGAAGGAAATAATTATATCAATATAATTAAATTTCAAATGGAAAAAAAAAATTATCCTTTTCACACAAACTGACAATAAACTGCCCAACATCAGACCACTATCGTTCAGGCGAGCTATTAGAAAAGACACCTTCGACACATGTTGTTTCAATTTAAATGTAAATGCAAGCAGCTTTTTCCTTTTTAATATGCTAACTGGTACGAATGCAAAAATATGCCTTGAGAATGGACCACGGAGCGTTTTGGATGCCATCTTTCCTCGGAGAGGCAAAAAAAAATGCTGGGAAACACGTTCGCTGCCAACTGCCCAGAGCGCTCACATGTATTGTTTGGTCTTTAAAGGGGGGAAGCCTAATATTTCTTGCAGCAAGAAAGCTGGCAGGAGAGGAGGTCTCCGCGCCCCGGTTAGCAGTCGGCGAGCTGTCTGCGATCCGTGGCCACTTGAAGGAATAGACCCGAGCCGTGGCTGGACTTCCCTGCCCCACCCAGACCCAAAGGGACTCGCATCAGGAGCAGCGAGCCCCGGGGCCTTCCCGTGTCCCCTTCACATCAAGAGCAGCCTGGAGAAACTCTCAGAAGCATCAGGCCTGAGAGGGATGGAGGGGAAATGGCATAGAAACCTCTGAGCCTCCTGCATGCCCCACCATGGGTCCTCCCAGGCTAGATCCACTGCCCCCAGAGCCGGAATCCACTGGATCCCACTGGCAGAGACATGCAAAAGGTTTGTGGATAGGAGC